AAAAAAACGACTAAGTAAAATCTCGAAATCCCGAAGTGTGTTTTCGGTACCGAAATCCCGAACGCACGTCGGGATATAATCACCCCCCCCCAAAAAGACGACTAAGTAAAGTCCCGAAATCCCGAAGTGTGTTTTCGGTACCGAAATCCCGAACGCACGCCGGGATATAATCACTCACCCCCAAAAAAACGACTAAGTAAAATCCCGAAATCCCGAAGTGCGTTTTCGGTACTGAAATCCTGGACACACGTCGGGACATCGTCCTACGAGGTAGGCACCCCCGAATTAGTGCTGATTGGGCGGACCGTGATACGCAATCGGTCATGACCTACATCGGGAACGCAACGTCCGACCACGGAATTGCGTTGGCTATGGTCACCATCGAATGGACTCTTGGTGGAACGGACCACTTCGTTCTCCCATACCAACGTAGCTACTTGGCAATGCCACTGGCATGACAACCGGTCCACCATAGGTTGACCCATCCCAGTCCTCTCGTACTAGGGTCGTTTTTTTTCGAGCCTTCGAAAGAATTTTTTTTTGTTTTTGAGTAAGTTTTTTTTTTTGCCAAACATTTTCCGAGATTTGTCGACAAGTTTTAAATTTTGATACGCGCATTTTATTTATCTCAGTTTTTTTTTCATCAAATCGCAATTGCGGATAACGGGAATCGAACCCGTATCCCCTGCTTGGAAGGCAGACAATTTACCTTTAATCTATATCCGCTATTTACATATTGAATTGATTGACTCAGGCCCCTGCCAAAAAAAAAAAAAGTAAAATCCCAAAATCCCGAAGTGCGTTTTCGATATCGAAATCCCGAACGCACGTCGGGATTTAATCACCGCCCCCCAAAAAAAAACGACTAAGTAAAATCCCGAAATCCCGAAGTGCGTTTTCGGTACCGAAATCCCGAACGCACGTCAGGATGTAATCCCCCCCCACCATAAAAAAAACTAAGTAAAATCCCGAAATCTTGAAGTGCGTTTTCGGTACTGAAATCCCGAACGCACGTCAGGATATAATCAGCCCCCACCAAAAAAACAACTAAGTAGAATCCCAAAATCCCGAAGTGCGTTTTCGGTACCGAAATCCCGAACGCACGTCGGGATATAATCCCCCCCCGCCATAAAAAAAACTGAGTAAAATCCCGAAATCCCGAAGTGCGTTTTCGGTACTGAAATCCCGAACGAACGTCAGGATATAATCACCCCCCACCAAAAAAACGACTAAGTAAAATCCTGAAATCCCGAAGTGCGTTTTCGGTACCGAAATCCCGAACGCACGTCGGGATATAATCCCCCCCCCCCAAAAAAACGACTAAGTAAAATCCTGAAATCCCGAAGTGCGTTTTCGGTACCGAAATCCCGAACGCACGTCGGGATATAATCCCCCCCTGTAAAAAAAAAAACTAAGTAAAATCCCAAAATCCCAAAGTTCGTTTTTGGTACCGAAATCTCGAACGCACGTCGGGATATAATCCCCCCCCGCCAAAAAAAAACTAAGTAAAATCCCGAAATCCCGAAGTGCGTTTTCGGTATCGAAATCCCGAACGCACGCCGGGATATAATCACCCCCCCCCCACAAAAAAAGACTAAGTAAAATCCCGAAGTGCGTTTTCGGTACCGAAATCCGAACGCACGTCGGGATATAATCCCCCTCCGCCAAAAAAAAAAACTGAGTAAAATCCCGAAATCCCGAAGTGCGTTTTCGGTACCGAAATCCTGAACGCAAGTCGGGATATAATTCCCCCCCCGCCAAAAAAATGACTAAGTAAAACTGGAAGTGCAATTCTGAGATATTCGTGATTGCCCACAACTTGTAATTCTCTTTAAAAGGACACCTCGTTGCTCTCAAAACACGAACTCATAAATGGACATTTCGTCTTCGCGAAACATTTTTAGGGATTTCGCCAACCCTTCGTAAATAAGCTTCGCTATCCAATTCGGCGTATTCTCCGAGGTCCATTGGTCACGAGTGGCGGAAGAGGGCATTCGCACAGATGGAAGGTATGAAGGAGAGAGTAGAAATCATGATTCAAGAGACCTTCAGCGAAAAGAAGTGGATCAAAATGAGCCTGCCTCTGAAGAAAAGGAGGCAAGAGGACGAGGTCCTAGGGGTTATGGTCGCAAAAAAAGAGTCGGAAGTTGAACTTGGGGGCTGTCTGCCCAAGGCGAAGGAAGGCCAGAAGGAAATGTCAGAAGTAGTCCTTAAAGTCCCTAACTTGCTACAACTTATCAAAGCTATTAGATATCACAAAGTTGGGGTAGACGCGGCAACACTTGCCAAGTTCGAGGATGAGGGCCGAAAGGGCTATTGCTTGAATGGAAAGATAGTTAGCATCCAGCCCCGCATCATGGAGGTAGCAAGGTCAATCCCGACCGTTCATTTCTTAGGAGAACGATCCCAGAAGGCAGTGTGCGAAAGTACAAACCCGTAGGAAAGAAGGCTAAGCCGGTCTCGATTTCAGTGGAGACATCAAAGGTAGAGGCATTGGAAAAGGAGGAGGAGGTTCTGCGGGTAATAAGGGAGAGGCGAGCAGCGGAAGGGCATCGAATACCTGATGAAGTAGCAGAAACCATGAAAATAGGGGTGGAAGGGTTCTTAACAACAGAGGAAACTCAGTTGATAAGGAGGGCGTGGCAAGAGTTTCATCTAGCCTTTGCCTTCAATGATCACCAGAAAGGACGGTTAGATGCGAGAGTATTGGAATGATAAAGGGTTTGCCTATGAGTTTGGGATAGCGGCAGAGGTCACCGACCTGCTTAGAGCCAAGATAGATTCATTCGTGGTTGGACCCACCGCATCCCCCTATGCGAATAAAAGGTTCATTTTCCGGAAGCCCAACAAGACACTCAGGTGGATCCTGGACTTGCAGAAGCTCAATGCGATAACAATTAGGGACGCGGGTTCGCTCCCACAGGCGGACTTGCTGACTGAATCGCATGTTGGACAAAGTATTTACTCCTTGATAGACCTATACTCAGGATATGACTAGTTGCCGCTCGACGCAAGGAATAGACCGTATACCGTCATGCACACACCAGTAGGGCAGTTGCAGATGCAAGTGACTCCTATGGGTTCCCGAATGCGGTGGCAGAGGCGCAGAGGAGAATGCTGGTTGTAGCAGGAGATATGTTCCCAGAGAAATGCGAGCCATATATAGACGATAACCCCATAAAGGGCGCGCAAAACAAGGATGAGACAGAGGTTGAGCCGGGCATGCGAAAGTTTGTCTGGGAACACCTGCAGGATATCAAGGATCTCTTACAACGGTTCCTGGTTTATAATATTACCGCAAGTGGACCAAAGAGCATCCTGGTTGTTCCGGAGGTAACCATATTGGGATTTCGCTGTGGGGCTTATGGGAGAAGACCCGACCCAGCAAAGACAGATAAGATCTCCTAGTGGCCGACACCCCTGCGCACCACGACGGAAGTACAAGCCTTCCTAGGGGTGGTCGGATTCTGGAGGATCTTCATCAAAGGATTCGCAAAGGTAGCCGAGCCTATCCGCGCGATGATTAGAGAAGGTGGTACAATGGAATGGACCGAGGATAGAGAAGCGGCAGCCCAGACCCTTAAGGACATCCTGTCTTTCGATCAGGTTACCCTAGCAGCACCCTGTTTCAACGATCAGGTAAGACGACCCTTCATCTTAGAAACAGATGGGGGACCGCTGACAGTTGGAGGAGTACTGATACAGAAGAGCGAGGAAGGCAAGGATTGGCTAATCAGATTTGAAAGTAGGACCTTGAATTCGGCAGAACGGCGGTACTCACAGTTCAAGAAAGAGGTCTTAATGATCCTGCATTGTCTTAAGACCTTCCAGGCATACCTATTCGGGAGGCGATTTATCCTAAGGATTGATCAGACCAACGTTGCTGGGGCATTAAAGAATTATAAGCCTATAGACCCGACCATCGGTAGATGGATAGGGTTCATAGGGCGATTCGACTACAAAGTCGAGCGAATTTCGGGGCTTCGAAACAGGGCGGATGGGCTGAAAAGGGTATGCATCCCGCCGGAGGGAATAGAGGACACAGAAACAATCGACGCCTTCTTGGAGTACGAAGGGGGAACCCTTGCCGTGGACAACGAGATGGCAGACTCCGTGACGATAACAGGTCAACTGCTGATCCAGACTCTGGAAAGGGGCGCGCCCGCGGTAGTTGCGGAGCTCATGAAAGGGTCGGTCACTACGTTTATGTGCAAAGACGAGAGGGATTTGTGGGGTGTAGTGATTGGGCCTAAAGAGGAATTGATAGCAATGGTCGTGGAAGGGGGACGGGACGCTGTGATGACCCTAACAGAAACCTGGGCGCAAAACAAGTCGCAGTACCTAGTCAACCAGACTCAGGAGGAGCAGGATAATGATCAGAAGGAACCATAATTTTTCCTCATACAGATGTATGAGGCCGTATTCAGAGAAATCGGTCTGCTGCTCATAGAAAACAAGCAACCCTTGGAAGTCATCCCCAAGGCAATGGAGGAAGCCGAAAAGTACGTCTTGAGGCACAGCCACCTCTTCAAGAAAGAAGAGGGAAAGTTGCCTAGACGCGTCGTATACGGAAGGCCTAGGCAATTAGATATAATCTAGGCAATGCACGATGGGCTAGCCGGAGGGCACAGGTTGTCAAAAGGGACCCTTGCAAAAATCGCACCACTTTACTTCTGGCCATGCATGGCAGGAATGGTGGCGATGTATAGCCAAACATTCTTGATATGCCAGGAGAGGAAGTATGCACGTGTCTTCGAGCCCCATAGACCTACCCGGGTACTAGGACCGGGGCACTTGGTTCACCTCGACCTTGCGGTCATGCCTGTGTCGACGGATGGACACAGGTACATCCCGGATGCAAGGGATAACCTCAATGGCTACGTGGAGGCGGTGACTCTTAAGAAAAAGACGGGAAAGGGAGTGGCCGATTGGGTAGAAGACTTCTACCTTAGGCACCCCTTTGTGCGTAGCTTCATAGCGGACAATGGAACGGAGTTCGTCAAACAAGAGGTGTTGGGCAGGCTTAAGGCACTGTGCGTACCTATCAAGATCATCGAGCCATATCACCCTGAGGCCAATGCACCAGTAGAAAGGGGACACCGGACCTTGAAGAACACAATTGCTAAGTTGGCGATGGATGACCTGGGGAACTGGCCTCGATACCTTAAGCAGGCGGTCTTCTCTGAGAACATGACACCGAAAAGGACGACGGGATGCATTCCCGCAAAACTCTGGTATGGGAGGGAGATCGATTTCCCGGTGGAAGCCCTGGTTCCTACCTAGAACAGGCTAAATAACAACTTGCACATGTCTACGGACGAACTAATTGCCGCACGTTGCCAACAGATCGTGAGAAATAAGGAAGCCTTGGAGGATGTGGTGAGGCGGGTGATGGATAGTCGAATAAAGGACAAAGCAAGGTGGGATCAAGTAAAGAACATCCGGAAGGAGCCGATCCAGGTGGGAAAAAAAGTGCTAGTTAGGAGCTCGGCTCTGGAAAGCACGTGGTCTTGGCAACTGGGAAAGAGATTCAAAGGGCCCTACAGGATCGCTAACCGGGTGGGATTGAAGACGTTTGAACTTGAGGATCTTGATGGTACTAGCATAAGAGGGTCATTTCCGGGACAGAGGCTAATCAGGTTTCTGAGCAGGGACCCAGTGGAACAATGGTTACAGGAGGCTCAGGACATGGAAACAGGGAATTTGACAAGGTGAAAGGCAGACAGCTAGCTACAATTCTATACCACCCCCCTGCGGAAGTAATCATGACTGCAGGGGTTGTTCGTTTATGTTTCCTTTCCTGTGGAACATGGGGTGACTGCCTGGGCAAAGTATGAATGAGGTCGGGAGCCCGGGACAATGTATCATAGTTTTTGTGGGGCAATTCTGGAGACTGTCTATATGAGGTACCTACGGGCTGGGATAATGTACCATAGTTTTTGTGGGGCAATTCTGGGGACTGTCTACATAAGGTACCTATGTGCTGGGACAATGTGTCAAACGTTCTAAGGGATAATGGGACTACCAACCGTATGGGGGCAAGCAAGAGTTCTGGGGAAGTCTGCAAATCTGCAAATGAAAGTGGGAGGAAATGTGTGCGTATGAGGGGGTGCGGTGACTGTTATGTATGAACAGGATCAGGCAAGAAGAAAGCAAAAAGAAAAGACAAAATGGAGTTTGGAAACGAAAATGACAGCAACGCCATCAACAGGCCTAACGAGCAGCAACCAACAAGATAGGCTGGAGAATCAAGCTCCAAAAAAAGGAAATTGTACGTGGGATTTGACCACAATCTCGTCATAAACAGAGGGGGAAAAAAACAAGGGACCCAGGGACCGTCACCTCCCAGAGAAGGGGAGCCGATAGTCCTGCCATCTGACAGTGATACTAGTAGTGAGGAAGAGGGGAACTCGGAAAAAAGACAGAGGTTAGGAGAGGAGGATCCCATTGAGATCGTAGACCTTAACAGCGAGGAGGACGAAGATGAAGTGACCACGCCCACGAGGGAAGTACGGGGAAGAGAGGAGGACCCGGGGGAAGATAAGGACAAATGGGTAACAGAGTTCGGGCCGACCTTCAGCGACTGGTTCGATCAATGGGCCAGTATCTTGCGATGGGCAATGAAAGAGAAAGAAAAGTTGAGCAGGAGAGAGGACATATCCCCGACAACCTTCTTCTCAGAAGGGACGCTCCTTCATTTGCAGGGAATAAAGAGACAAACGCAGCAAGACATTGAGGATCGTGCAAGGGAGGCTCGACGTAGGGCGGTTGAACAGTAAGAGGGTAGTAGGCATAATGAGGAGTTAGCTAGAAATTGGGAGAGGGTTGGTACCTGGCTAGGAGAAACTGTCATTCTGAATTTTTCATTTGAATTTTTTTCTGAATGGACTGCGACGGGACAACTTCCTAGACTTAAAATGGTGAAGGACTTGGTAATGAGTACTACTCTACACAAGTAGTTGCCTCTTCAGGAAAGCGGCACGAGGGTCATTGCACCTAGAGAATAAGATTGTGAATGGTTGGGGTTGTCAGGGGGAAAATAGAGGGATCTAGATGACGCGAGTCTGTAATGTTGCCTTTGCATTCGAACTCTGTCTCCTCGTTTTTCTTGGAAGGACTGCGACGTAACGCCTTCTTGGATTGGGGATGCTACTAGGGGATGGGTGACCAGTGCTACTTTGTACAAGTACTCGCTCCTTTTGGGAAACCTGAGGTTTTTTTTTTTTTTTTTTTTTTTGGTAATAAGAATGGGGCTGGGGATCATTGACTCTACCTTAAGAGACAGACAAGGGTGTGTGAACTGTTGAAGATTGGAAGAAACGTCGATGGCATAAACTTTTCTTTTTGAAAAGTGTGTATCCTTGGTTGAATGAGTCATCTCATGAGTCCTTGTGAGAGGTTAGGGGACCTATGGGTAAAGAGGTGTGAAGAACACTCTTCCCTAGGAGCCTAATCCAACAAGTCTCACGTCAGTCCAAGACAGCAAGACGCATGAGAAGCAGAGAAAGAGAAAACAGTGAGGACACACACCCTTTGCAATGGTTGAACGGTCGGGCGGGCTAGTGCCGCTTGAGGTTGCGACCCTCAATTCTAGTACTAGACGCTAAGTCGGATGTATGAATGGACATAAGGATGACAAATGATATGAGGAAGGGGAAGAAGCATGCGTAAAAAACCAAGAAGATGGCTAGGCTGCCCAATTGGAATGGACAAGGATGACCCTAACCAGGCTGTCCAATTAGAATGGATAAGGATGATCCTAACCAGGCTGTCCGATTGCAATGGATAAGAATGACCCTAACCAGGCTGTTCGACTTGTAATTGGAAAGAACGACCCTAACCAGGTTGTTCGGAATGGCCCCTGACAAGGGTCATTCTTTAAAATTGGCACTGGGGCCCCCTTGCATGGCTGCTTGAGATGCATGGTATTGGAAGAGTTGAGCATTGGAAAAGGTATTAGAAGAGCTGAGCCTTGAAAAATATATTGGAAGAGCTGAGCCTTTGAGAATGTATTGGAAGAGCTGAGCCTTGGAAAAAGACATTGGAAAAGCCGAGCTTGGAAAAAGATATTGGACTCAGCCTTGGAAAGGATATTGGACTCAGCCTTGAAAGAGATATTGCATTGAGCAATCGACTGAGATTGATCATGGGAATGAGACTGAGCATTGAAATTAGATTGAGTACTGAAAATTGCACTGCATAAAACAGGGGACCCTAGGCAACTTGAAATGAACTTCGAAAGAGCATTGAAATGAAATTTCTCTTTTCTTCTAGTCTTTGGCCTCACCAAGAGGGGGATACCGGTGCATGCACCGCGACCCCCAAGGCCTCTATCCCTTTGAGGGAAAAAGTCTCAGTGCGACCTGTTCCTCTTCAAGGGGATGAATGTCAGAGGACTAAGGCACCTACCACTTGGATCGGTGCGGGACATCCGGAACTGACCCCGATAATGAGTTCTAGTCAGGAAGTTCAAACTGCGCCTCTTGTTGAATGTCTAAACGTCAAAGGATGAGAGAGTCAAATGGGCGAGAGAGTCATTCTCATCTAGTCTATTCTGCCATTCTCCAACCACACGCCATGTTATAGAGGGGTGCGATGGTCGTTTGGGTCGGACCACGGCTGCCTGCGCTAAGTTGGGTGGCACTGTCCAAGGGGAGAGGCTGGCGAGGTACTGGGTGGAGTCCGCCACCACCACGGGGCATTGACACTGCCCTGCCGAAACATTACAACCGTTTCGGGACTAATTACGAGGTCTTCGTAACTGCTCTTGCGGACTAATTGAGAGCCCCAACTCTCTGGAAAGGAAGAGGCCGGAATCCAGAAAATCACCACTCGGGAGGAACAATTCACGAGCAACGCTCTTACGGCTAGACGAGGCCCTGGGAGGCTTGGATTGGACCTGCCTAACAGAACTGAGGAGGAACCTCAGTATTGGTGCTCGCCACGTAAGAGAAGAAAGGTCGGACCGAGTAGGAGGATAAGGCGTCGTCCGCTGGGGAGGAACCGATCACTCTTCCTTTTGTGAAGCGGACGGCCTTGTGTCCTTGACTGCGGTGGGTGGGCCAAAGGTCTGCGTAGCTCTGAGTGAGAACCAGTCGTGCGATCGGGACATCGCGTTTTAAGTGGGGGGAAGGTGTACCATCTACCAATAAATACACATGAAAAAAAACTTGTAATTGGCTTTGCATGGGCCTTAGAAAAAGGGTCTGGCAAGACACCCAGAAAAGAAAAAAACTTGTAATTGGTTTTGCATGAGCCTGAGAAAAAGGGGTTTGGCAAGACGCCCAGAGCAGAAGGGACTTGAGCAAGTAATGGGTATGAGCTTGAGAAAAGGACCTGGCAAGACGATCACGAAAGAAAAAGATTGGTATGGTTGACTTTGCATGGACCTGAGAAAAGGACTGGCAGGTTGGAAAATGGATGAGTGATTGGCTTGCATGGGTTTGAGAAAAAGGTCTGACAAGACGTTTGGAAAAGAGATGCACAAAGGATGGACCAAGCATTGCACGTGGAAAGTCAATTAAGTAAAGGGCAAGGAAAGGACAAAGGATGATATGCATGCAGAATTGACAGGACCTGAGAAAGGCCGGGTAAAATGAGCCGGGGGAAATGATTGTGGAATTGGTAAAGCCTGAGCTTCGGGAAAGGGCGAAGGGAAAAACATGGATTGCACGAGCCGAAAAATATATTATTTTGCGGTGCGCTAAGAGCAATGAAGGGGACAAAGCCAAACATGGTTTCTGCTTGAGAATGTTTTCTCGATGAAATGGGAAGATAGATTTGAGATTACGAAGCACTTAGGGGGAGTTGTGCCTGTGTTCATTGATTCGAAGTGGGTAGCACCGCAACAAAGGCGGCGGTTGTACTGAACGAACATCCCCCTTCCGGAGCAAATGCCTGACATTGAGTCACATCCGAAAACTTGCCTACAATTTGTTATCAACAGTGCTAAGGCATATAATGAGAAAACCAATTGTGTTATGACGACAAATTGTCATCCTGGGAATAAAGTCAGCATGCTAGTAGTTAAGTGCTTGCTGAGTATACAAAGTTGACTGAAAAGCAAGTCCGTGTCTCGATTGAGGGGAAGATAAAAAGGCAGATCTATGATGGAAATGAGCAACCTGGTCCAAGTTGTAGGGGGGAAAGAGAAGCCCGAAGAAGAACCTTTGACTCCCCCATACCCCCCCTCCATCCCAAGGGGTGGAAGCCAAAAGAAAACCTTGGAAGAGGAATGAGAAAGGACAAAAACAACCCAGGCAACCTAACTACCCGTCTCACCACCCTCCCTTTTCCGTCTGTCTATCACTCCAGAATCCCTACTAACTGTGGACTGGTGCGCGATGAGGACATCGCGAATGAGTGGGGGGAATGTGTCAGGATTAGTGAGTCCCGAATGACTTCCCATCACTCGAGAGACTGTATATGACCAATTTGTGCACGGTAGAG